GCCACTCCTCGGAAGGAAGGTTGGGCAATCTACTTCTGTAGTGATACTGCCTCGGAAACCCAAGGAGGGGTCGCTATGAGTCGGGTTTGACTCGACAGCACATAACAACAACAACAACATGTTTGAGCACTTACAAATGATAGGGACTAGGCTGTTTTAAGGGAGCTCTGGTAGCGTAGTGCCTAAGGCATTTGACTGCTAACCAGAAGACCGAGAGTTCAAACCCACCAGTCACTCCTCAGAAGAAAGGTTGGGCAATCTACTTCTGTAATGATACCACCTCAGAAACCCATAGAGGAGTCACTCTGAGTCGGGTCCTACTTGATGGCACATAACAACAACAATAACAAGGCTGTTTTAAATACTTTTTCTAATTTGAACCTTGACAAAACCCAGTGAGATATATATTATTATTTCTGTTTCACTAACAGAATGGAAATTTAGATGTTAAATGACTCACCAAATGCCAATAATTGGTCAATATTTGAACTAGTCTGATACCAAAGCCCAACTTTAACTATTTTGATGATATACTGCTCATAAAAACATCATGGAGATTTGATTTATTCACATGGTGCATGGCCCAATAATATCTAGAATATCAAATTAAAACTAATATAAATTAGAAATGTGCTTTTATAAAAAAAAATGTATGTCTATTTCCTTTCACTTTTATAGTGTTTTTCTAGGCTCCTTACTTTCCTCAAGAAGATCTGATAGCACAGTGACTAACGCATCTGGCTGCTAACCAGTAGTTTGGTGGTTGAAACCTACCAGCCATTATGCGGAAGTAAGACTGGGCAATCTACTTCTTTAAAAATTTACCACCTCAGAAACCCAGAGGGGGACGCTATAAGTTGGAATCAACTCGATCGATGGCAGTGGTTTGGTTGGTTTTACCTTCCTCATGTGGGATATCACACTCATCATTTTAGCTTATTTCAGATTTTAGAACAGGAGAATCTTTGCAATAATAAATATTTGTTTAAGCCAAACAAACCAAACTTAACTGCCATCGAGTCAATGCCGACTGATAGTGACCCCTTCTTGGTTTCCAAGGCGGTATCTCTACGGAAATAGATTGCCCAGTCTTCCTTCCAAGGAGTGGCTGGTGAGTTTGAACCCACCAGCCTTCTGGTTAGCAGTCAAATGCCTTAGGCACTACTCTATCAGAGCTCCTAATATTTGTTTAGATATCAAGAAATTGAGGCCCAGAGAGAACAAATAATGGTCTTACTGTAGTTACACAGCTTGATAATGCTAGGATTTCCTAGTCTAATTCTGGTGCTTTTTCCTTTTCATTATCCAGAAAAATTATGTGCCTACTGGCTGTGCTTCACATATCTAGTAATTATCTTCAGTTGAAAGAGAACCCACTCTCTTAGTTTTGAACATACCTTTCTTTTGGCCCAGATAGAAATCAAGAGAATTGTACAGAGAGTTGTAATGCCTTTTAAAACTTCTGCTTAGATACAGTGTGCATCACTTCTGCCCAAATACATTGGCCAAAGTACATCTTCTAGTGAAGCTCACATGTGACAAGAATGTGTTATCCTCCCAAAAAAGACACAGCAAGTCTATGGCAGGTGGTGGGGATATATAACCTTCTTACAGGGAAGGAAAGACTAAATAATTGTGAGCAATAAGCATTCTCCCTCATCTCCATACTAGTGTTTCCACATCATAGCATTCAGTAAATGGGCATAGTCTTTGAAGATTTTAAGAAAGCTTCAAAGGCCAAAAAATTCAAATTTCTCTATTTTGGTAGATATATTAATATTTTCCCAACCTTTTATATCTATATGTTCTCACTATAAGGTTACAGCATATAGTTTAATGTTTTCAGTTTTTCCTAATTATTTTTTTAAATTATTCAGACTAAACATTGATATAAAACTAATTTCATATTTCAATTGTTGATTATAAACAGAACTGAACTTTCCAAATTATTATCCACTTAGAAACTATTAGAAAACCTTGAATATTTAGATTTCTGTTTTATCTTCACGATATACTTAGTAGAACAATTATAATTAAATTTGAAGAATATGCTTATATATGATAATTCTTTAACTTAAAGGTTAAAAATTTAAAAGTAAATATTGCTTGTCAAATGATTTTTAGCAATTTGCTTTAGTCCTGATCTTTTGAGGTTTTTCATTGTGAAATATGTTGTATGTTGTTGTTAGGTGCCATCAAGTCAATTTCAACTCATAGTGATCCTATCTATGCTCAACAGAACAAAATACCATCTGATCTTGGGTCATCCTCATAGTTGTTGCTAGGTTTGGAACCATTGTTGCAGATACTGTGTTAGTCCGTGCCATTGGGGGTCGTCTTCTTTTTTGCTGATTCTCAGTTGTCCTTCTCTAGAGACTGTTGTTGTTGTTGTTATGTGCCGTCGAGTCGGCCCCGACTCATAGCGACCCCTCCTTGGGTTTCCGAGGCAGTATCACTACGGAAGTAGGATTGCCCAACCTTCCTTCCGAGGAGTGGCTGGTGGGTTTGAACCGCCAGCCGTCTGGTTAGCAGGCAAGTGTCTTAGCCACTATGCTACCAGAGCTCCCTAAAAACATGACCAAAGTACATGAATGAAGTCTTGCCAATCTTGCTTCCGAGGAGCATTCCAGCTGTACTTCCAAGACAGATTTGTTAGTTTTTCTGGCAATCTGTAGTATATTCAATATTCTTCACCAACACTGTAATTCAAATGCATCAGTTCCTTTTCCATCTTCTTTATTCATTGTCCAGCTTTCGCATACATATGAGTTGATTGAAAATACCATGGCTCGAGTCAGACATACTATAGTCCTCAAAGTGACATCATTGCTTTTTAACAATTTAAAGGTATTTTTTGAATCTTGAAGATTTCATGATGTGTGAATGTACAGGTTAAACAGTTTATTAAGCCAATATCCATGTCACTCCCATACTGTTTAGGAAATAGAACATCACCAGTGCCTTTGAAGAGCACTGCCTGTTTGCCTTTTCCCAGTCATGTTCCTCTGCTTGTTAGAAATACCACAGTCCTGATTTTTGCTTTAATTTCTTTCTAGACAGTTTTTGGGGAACTCATATCTCTGGAAGACAATAGTGATATCATGGGATTGGCTATGTTTATTCTGAATCGCTTGCTTTGGAATCCTGATATAGCAGCTGAATATAGACACCCCACTGTTCCTCATCTCTACAGAGATGGTAAATTTTTTCACCTCCACTATTTTCTTGCCACACTATGCATAAATGGCCTCTTCTCACTCTTCCCAATTTAAATTTAAATTTTACCTTCTCAGAAAAAGCCTATGTAAATTGTTCTCTCTTTCTTTATCCCCATTTTCCTCTATCATTTCTTCTATCACTATTTGTTATTATTTCTACCAGTGTGTTGTCTCTTGCCACTCCCTACTCCCCACTTGTTTGCCTTCCCCATGAAGGTAGTTATCTTAATTTAATCAATTTGCTGCTGTATATCCAGTACCTAGATGGGGCTTAAATATAATACATACTCACTAAATATTTGTTGGATGATATCAACTAAGTCTCTTAATGTCTCTGTGCCTCTGTTTTCTCTGTGAAATGGAAGTGCTAACCATACTTAACCCCATAGTTATTATGAGCTTTAAATGGATTCTTGTGTTGAAAACACTAAGAGGCACATAGTTTTATTTGTGCTTGTGACTATATTTTTTTATTATCAGCATGCAAATATTATTGTTATTTTAAAGGAAACTTGTATTTCATAGATTAAGTTGTTATGTTTCTGTATTTTTTATTTAAGGTCATGAAGAAGCTTTGTCTAAGTTTACATTGAAAAAGCTATTGTTGTTGGTCTGTTTCCTTGATTATGCTAAAATCTCCAGACTTATTGATCACGATCCTTGTCTCTTCTGTAAAGATGCTGAATTCAAGGTATAGTTCTTACATTTTATATTTCATATTTAAGATTTTCACTTCCTTTTATTGTATAGTTTGTCTTTAGAAAACATAAAATCCCTGAAGAACAGTACACTGGAGTAGAATAGGAATGCCTGCCTAGTGATTCTCTTCAGTGGCTCTAACTGTGCCTGACTTGTGTGAGTTGGCATTTCACCAGCATATATTATCCTTACTCTAAATTTTGACTTGAGAATGAACTAAACTTTGCTTCTCAGAACTTAATTCTTGGGAAATTTCTTTCCTAATTTTAATGTCATATATTATCAAGCTAATACTAATTTTTAGAATGTATTATTAATTTTGAGCAATTTTTTTAGATGTTAAATTGGAAATATGAAATTTGCATTATTGCCATGTGATGAGACTTATAATCTTTTCATAGTACCATTAATTTTATTTAATTTCTGTGTACACAGAATGATTTGAAGCATTTGTTTTATTATAAACAGAATTACAATATTGGAATATAATACCTACAATTTGATTTCTATAGGCTAGTAAAGAAGTTCTTCTGGCTTTTTCCCGAGATTTCCTAAGTGGTGAAGGCGACCTGTCTCGTCACCTTAGCTTTTTGGGATTACCTGTTAGCCATGTTCAGACACCATTTGATGAATTTGATTTTGCTGTTACAAGTCTTGCTGTAGACTTGCACTGTGGGGTGCGTCTTGTGTAAGTATAACAAATAGAATTATATTGTTTAATGAATAGACTAACATTTTCAGGTAAACATTTTTTTCTATATTTTTATAGTTTGTTAGTTTGTTCTTTCTCATAATGGAATAAATTTAGGGTTAAAAATGTGAGATTTCACCAACATTTTCAGCAAAATGTTGTGTCAGTTTTGGGCCCAGAAATTTAATCTACTTCCATAGAGATACCACCTTAGAAACCCAAGGAAGGGTCGCTATGAGTTGGAATCGACCGAAAAGCAGTGAGTTTGGTTTGGTTGGTTTTCATCTTTGCTGTTATGTGACTAGGGTCCATGGGTAGGAAGTACTGATGTCCCTGAAGAAGAGTTGGGGAAAGCATGGAACTAAATAAAATATGAAACATTGAAATACACTATGTCTACAGTGGTTTCATGAGTGCCCTATCATTTCAAACTGATTTTAATAGTATTAACCTTGTTTCGCATATGAGAAACAATAAAAGGAAAAGACAGAATGACTTATCCAAGTTTTATACAGTGGAATTGTAGCATTAATTCAGGATTTCTAACTTCAAATCATACAATATGTCCTCAGTAACAAAGTGGAACATTCAAAACTGGCACTAGAACGAATGAAGGAATTACTAATCCCTCCATTGGAGGGAGCTCTGGTAGCATAGTTCCTAAGACACTTGACTGCTAACCAGAAGGCTGGTGGTTCAAACCCACCAGCCATTCCTCGAAAGGAAGGTTGGGCAACCTACTTCTGTAGTGATACCGCCTCGGAAACCCAGGGAGGAGTCACTATGAGTCGGGTCCGACTCAATGGCACATAACAACAACAACAACCATTGGAGGGAATGACGTTTGAGCTGGTGCTCAGGTTGACCTGTCTGTAGTATCTAAATTAGTAACATCAGTGCTACTAATATATGTTTCATCTTTATTAAGGAAACACTTTTAGAGTTAAGGAAAAAGATTTCTTTAAAGATTTCACAAATGGTAAGCCTCAAAACAAAAAGTTAAGATTTGAGATATGGGATACAGAGATAATAGCCTTCATGAAATGTATCATGAATCCTTTTCCTATTTGGGCACATTCTTGTCAGATTTTAAATTACTGGTGTTATGGCCAGCATATTGTAGGAGCTCTGGTAGCATAGTGCCCAAGGCATTTGACTGCTAACCAGAAGGCTGGCAGTTCAAACCCACCAGCCACTCCTGGAAAGGAAGATTGGGGAATCTGTTTCATAGTGATACTGCCTTGGAAACCCAAGGAGGAGTCGCTACATTCTAAATTTCAAATTGGCTAAAAATGTAACATGAATGAAGTTACTTGGGATATACTTTTTAACTTCCTTGTTTAAAGTAGAGAAATCTTTAGGGTGTAAACTAAGAACCTTAAATCCATGTCTCTTGGGAGGCAGTGAAGGAACCATGAATACTTAGCCTGAAGCATAGCAGAGAAAATTGGGACATAAATGTCTTTAGATATTTGAAGGGCTGTATTGTGTTAAAAGGTGATTAAATAATTTATTACTAAGCGGAAGCACCATGCATGAACAACAGAGGAAAGTTTCAGAGAGGAGTGTTGGTTCCATGTAAAAACTTGGTAGTGTGCAGACCTATGCTTAGGAAGACACCAGTTCCCAGTGTTAGAAGGTTCAAGCAGAGGTCAGAGGACAACTTGGCTGGAGTGGAGGAAATCTTTGACATTTATTAGGAAGAGATTCCTAGACCCCAGTATTTCAAAAACAAAAACACGTCCCTTGTTTCCTTCTAAATTAAATTTCCATGAACATTTCGTTCTTTTCTTTCCTAATCATATTTTTTATAAGAAGTTAATAGGCTTTTCAACTTTTACTGTAGCTTTCTCACACTTGAGCAATTTTCATAGAGGCTAGAATTGTTGCTGAAAATGTTTTATATTTTATTTTTATATTTGTTAGTTTGTTCATTTCAGGAATCCAAGTTACCAAATCTATTTTCTGGCCAAAAGGAATTCATGTCTTTAGACTTTTTCTGCTTTATAGAAGGGACAGTTATTGGTTATTTATGTTTAGTGTCACTTTTCCACAAAGAAACACGTTTTTATGCCTTTACAGGTATTACTGAGTATTTAGCTAGGCAGGATGTTGATGCTATGTAGTTGGTTAGGAACTTTTAGTATAGAGACTTGATCTTGCATGCCATATTTCTATTCTGTGCAGTGTCAGCAAAATGACTATTTTATTGGTCTTTGAAGTTATTCAGTACTTGGTAATGGTTAATTCACTAATACCATTTCCATTGTTGCTGGGTCCAGTTTACTGTTGCAAAAATGGTTGATATATAAATTGGTTAATTGGCCTAGATTGATCTTAAGTAGCTTTGTAACCTTTAGAAACTGTGGTTCTATAAAACATTTGCAAGCCTTTAGCTATGTTCAATAATCAGTTGGGGCTTGTTTTTTTCTGGGAAATAGAAATTATTGTCTAGTGGAAAAAGCACTAGTGATTTAGATATTAGGAATTTCAATTTGAACCGTGGTGCCTATGTCTTTTTTTAGATAGACATTCAAATATTTCTACAGTAATTTGGTATAGGTATAAGAGAATGGCTTTAGAAATTGTTAAAACTGGGTTTTAAGTCTTAGTTCTGTCATTACTAGCTATGTGATCATGAGCAGTTTACTTAACTTCTCTGGGCCTTGGTTTTATCATCCGCACAAAGTGAGATAACAACACCTGATTTGTGATAATTGCTATGAGGACTAAAATAAGAATAGAAAGTACTTGCTTGATGTGTAGAACATAATATCTCTTCAATAAATATCATATAGTGCCCTCAATAAATAACATTTTCCTTTTCCCATTCTTCCTATTTCTCTTCCTTCCTCCCTTTTCCTTTCTCTGCAGAACCCTGTTATTTTGTTCACATGTACATTTGTGCATAAATATCCCATATTTTATCACATATTGAAAGACCTCTTCCCAATCCCAGACTTAAATTGAGAAGTAAGTCTTATATGCTAACTGTGGAACAACAGTATAGAGTGCTATTTTTTATTTATTTTTTTTTTGCGTATAGTGTGCCCATGTAAATAATGCACACACACATCATGCACACAGGAAGCTAATGTGCAGAGGGGGTTGCATGGTTTGCAAAGACCTCTGTGATGCTTGCATTATTTGCCTAAAAATAGTGCACTGAGGAATTTTTTTGAAGTCTTTTTGATCTGAAAGCCTCGTGGGAATTATTTGGCTAGTCACTATATTGAAAGGAAGTTCATTTTCCATGTATATTTACAGTTTCATCTCAAAATTCCTTTACTGCTAGGCGAACCATGGAACTTCTCACACAGAACTGGAATCTCTCAAAGAAACTCAGGATTCCTGCAATAAGCCGTCTTCAAAAGATTCACAATGTTGACCTTGTTTTTGAAATTCTTAAATCCCGAGGAATTCAACTAATTGATGAACATGGTAAAAACTGAGAGGAAATAAAACATTTCTGTCTTTGCTGAGTAATGATATGTATATGTATTATGTTAATGGACTGTCTTTTCATTTGCAGGAAACACAATCCTATCTAAGGATATTGTAGATAGGCACAGAGAAAAAACTCTTGCATTGCTTTGGAAAATAGCATTTGCTTTTCAGGTACATTTTGTACATTTTAGACTTTTTGTAAAATTTAAATATTAATTTATAAAGGCAATTTAAATAAAGACTAACAGTAAGAGCTATCACTTACTAGTGTTTATTCTGTCCCGGGAATTGGGGTAAGGGCTTTATGTATATTCTGACTTAATAGTCATATCACTCCTATAAGGTAGGTAGTTATTTCTGCTTTGCAGGTGAGGAAACAAGCTGGAGGTTAGTTACATTGTTGATAAGAAGTGGAGCTATATGGGGCCAGGCTTGTGTGGCCCCAAATCCCATGTTCTTTACTACACATTACATCACTTCAATGTAGACTATTTTTGTCTTTTAAAAGTGTAAATTTTTGGTGCTAAACTTTATATGCATTTTGAGCAGTATGTTTTCTTAGCTCTTTAAAATTTCTGATTAGGTTATATTAAGTTCTACAGTTTATATAAATAAAAGACAGTTACTTTAATTTCATTGGGTTAAAAATGTGAACGTGTTTATCCTTTTGTGTTTCAGGTGGATATTTCCCTTAATTTAGATCAGTTAAAGGAAGAAATTGACTTTCTAAAACAAGCTCAGAGTACAAAGACAGCACTGTCTGCACTATCGTGCCATTCTGATAGTATGGTTAATAAGAAAAAAGACAAAAGGAATAGTGGTTCCTTTGAACAGTATAGTGAAAGCATAAAACTATTGATGGATTGGGTAAATGCTGTTTGTGCCTTCTATAATAAGAAAGTAAGTTTCTTTGTTTTTGTTTTAACCCAGTGTCTTTAAATAAATTTTGGTTAAAGTCAATTAAACTTAGTGTACAACCTTTTCTTTTATTTTGTAAATAATTTAGTTTTTAGTTAAACAAACTTTTCCTCAAATGAGTTAGTGTATTGTTACTCATGTACTGTATTTCATCTGACTTAAGTTGTCATCAGTTGTATGATGCACTGTAATTTTATGTATCACTAACCAAACCAAACCAAATGCACTGCTGTCGAGTCAGATCCGACTCATAGCGACCCCTCCTTGGGTATCCCAGGCGATATCACTGCGGAAATAGATTACCCAGCCTTCCTTCTGAGGAGTGCCTGGTGGGTTTGAACCACCAGCCTTCTGGTTAGCAGTCACATGCCTTAGGCACTATGGCATCAGAGCTCCTTAGATATCACTAGAAAGAAAAAGATAAAATACCCTAGATGGGGGAGTCTAATAGGCATGTGCATACAGCAGGGACACCAAGGATCATACCCTTATTATAAAGGTAAATGCAGATAAATCTACTATTGCAGAAAAGGATGACAGAGAAACAACTTTACCACTAGGTAGAAACTAAAAAACCAAACCCTCTGCCACTGAGTTAATTCCAACTCATAGGGACCCTTAGGAATGGAACTGCCTCATAAGGTTTCTAAGGCTATAAATTTTTACAGAAGCAGACTGTCTCATCTTTCTCACATGGAGCAGTGGTGGGCTGAGCCATTGATCTTTGGAATCTGCACCAGCATAGCTCCTTTACCACTAGGTAGTGTGAGGAGAAAAAAAATGTAAGATTTTTCTATATAATTTTTTATGTTGACACTATTTCTGCATGAGATGTACCTTTAAATGAAAAAAGCACACACACACACACACACACACAATTTCCCTGACACACATGGATGTGTCTGGTAAGGAATATAAAACAGGAACAGTGATAGTGCATTTAGCTAAGTATGATAAATTATACTTCAAACAAGTATTGTTAGTAGAAAAGTTGGCAAATATATGGACAATCTATATTTTAACTAAGTACTAGAGAGCCAAAGAAGATATTTTACTCAAATTCCACTTTGGGAGTGGTCAGTATTTTATAATTGTGGATTTGACTGTGAATATAGTAGTATGGTAGGTACTGCTATTTTTTAGCTATCAAAAAAAAAATGCTGGACTTATGAAACCATTAAACCAAAAACCAAGTTTGCCATTGAGTTGAATCTGACTTATAGTGACCCCCTCTGGGTTTTCAAGGTGGCAAATCTTTATGGAAGTAGATTGCCCCATCTTCTGTGGAGCAGCTGGTGGGTTTGAGCCACCAGCCTTCTGGTTAATAGTCAAATGCTTTAGGCACCATGCCACCAGAGCCCCTTATAAAACCATTAGCATTTGTATTAGTATCTAAATGCAGCTAATTATTTCTTTGGTTTTTCCAATTAGGTGGAGAATTTTACAGTGTCTTTCTCAGATGGCCGTGTGTTATGTTACTTGATTCACCACTACCATCCTTGCTATGTGCCTTGTGAGGCTATATTTCAGCGTACTACTCAAACTGTGGAATGCACACAAACTGGTTCAGTGGTGTTGAATTCATCCTCTGAATCTGATGCTAGTTTTCTGGACATGTCTCCTAAAGAATTTGATCATGGTTAGTCTTTTTTTGTTGATTCACTTTTCAAAAATTTCCTTTACTATGTTTAAGTTTTGGCTAGAGCAGTCTAATTTCTCTTTTCTCACTTGCATAGTAGAAAATACTTCAGAGCTATACAAAGAGCTCCTAGAAAATGAAAAGAAAAATTTTCAGTTGATTAGCTCTGCAGTTAGAGACCTTGGTGGAATACCTGCCATGATTCATCATTCAGATATGTCAAATACAATTCCAGACGAAAAGGTAAGTGAAAGGAGCTTTTTTAAAACAAGTATTGTCTCCAAAGACGATAGGATAATTAAGTTGTGTGTTCTCTCTTGCTCCTCTGTTTTCATCTGTGTTTTCTCTTAGGTGGTTATTACCTTTTTGTCATTTCTTTGTGCAAGACTTTTGGATCTTCGTAAAGAAATAAGAGCTGCTCGACTTATACAAACAACTTGGAGAAAATATAAACTAAAAACTGATCTAAAACGCCATCAGGTACTCCTAAAAAATGAAAACACTATATTGTGAATTATACTTTGTAAAATGCCAGTTAGTTGATCTTTATGCTTTTTACATTTCACTGACAGATGAAGTTACTGAGGTAAATTTAATAATGGTGTGTGTTGTTTGGGTTGGACTTATGTAGAGATACTTTCCCTAGCTCCTAATAGTTCCTTTAATCAGTACATATTTTCCAGCCTCTGTCTACTGCTAAAGGGCATGGAGTTGGTATCTTCTGACCTCTGATCCACCTAGGGGGAAACAGCCACCATCAGCAGCCCAGAGCTTATTCTCATGAGGGCAAACATGCCACCACCCCCCAGCCTTTTTACCAATTCTGACACCAACCATCCTTCCCATGGCACTATTTCTCTGCTGGGTTCAGTATTCATTGCAATGGCCACAAAGAACTCACAGACAGTACTCACAATTATGGGATTTACTAGGGAAGTAGCAGGTTACAATTCAGGTTCCGGAACACACTCAGGATACAATTGTTCAATCAGGATAGTCTCCCCTTTGCTAAGCCCTCAGGCATGCCTCTCTGGCCCTTGGCTTCTTGGCCTGGCCTTTGCCCTGCTTGGGCAAATGTTATCAGGCTCCTCTAGCTCTGCCCAGGGGCACACAGCTTTCTCACTTAGTGGACCAGAAAGCCTGCCACTCCATCTCCTGCCTTTTGGCTCCACTGTCACTGTCTCTCAGCAGGGCATCTCTCTTTCTCAGCCAGGCATCTCTCAGCCAAGGAGGTCTAATGGATCTTGGGTCCTAGGACTCGCTGTACTTTGCTTCCAGCTCTTCTCTCTTTATGGCAGTGAGATCCCCCTTTCTGCCTCTAGGAAGGCTCAATTTAAGCCTAGCAGAGTGACAAAACTAACTAATCCCAACATCAGAGTTCTACACACCTTATTTGCATGGTCCCACTCAGTAATCTGGTGGGAGTTATAAAGACTGTGGCTAGAAAAGCCTTATCAAGTAATTCAGTGCACTATATCTACCCTTCACTTTCTCTGCTCCAACAAGTGGGATAACTTATCTGCTCTGTAGATTTGTGAAAAATTATAAGGATACTTGACTTCTTCCTCTTGAAACCTAATCTGCTTCAGAGAGTAGGAGTTCTGCATTGTGTTTTCATGCTGTGCTCATTGATTGTTGCCCTTAACTAGTGCTGCTTGGGACTGGGTACCAAGTATCTAATTTGGAGGTTCAATGTGCAACCTCATGTTGTCTGTCATAACACTGTCTTTAAACTTATTCTTTATTAGCTGTAAAAGTGGTATTTCATTTTTCATTGTTTTATTCTCAAAATGTTTAAGATCTAGACACAGGAATAGGGATGTTATTTATCGTTTCCCTTTGTGACCTCAATGGTATGAAAGTTTGTGTTAGTGCAAACTAACTTTCTATCTCTTGAATTCTTCAAAAATGTTTTGGATTTTAATAAACTGAAAGTTGGTGTCCTTGATCAAGTTGAAAAACTATTTTAGTTCTTTTATCTCTCTGCCCACTCCACTAATTGTTGTTGTTATGTGCCGTCGAGTCAAACCCGACTCATAGTGACCCCTCCTTGGGTTTCCGAGGCAGTATCACTACGGAAGTAGGATTGCCCAACCTTCCTTCCGAGGAGTGGCTGGTGGGTTTGAACCGCCAGGTTAGTTATATATCTGTAGGGTTCCTATAAGTCAGAATTGGGCAACAGGTTGATTTGTTTGTTTTAATATTAATTTGTTTGGAAAAATAAAAATCACACAAAATAAAACAAACATCTACCCTTTATACAATTTTTCACAGATATTTTGGAAATAGTGTTCCCCTGATATTGCTCCTCAGTTTTGAATTACAACACATTTATGATAAAGTTCTTTGTAGCTGTGTAAAACAGCTGATTTTGACAGCTCTTAAATATAATCTGTATTCTCTTATTCTATATAATACTTGGAAATAATAATTGAAATAATTTGCACCTGCCCCACTCAAGGTCACTACAGTCATATTTGAAAAATAATGATGTTTTACATATTTTCACAAGTGGTCTTCTCTGCTACTGTACGTTCTCTGTGTCCTGTCTTGTCTCTTACCTTCTCAAGATCTGTCTCCTTGCCCACCAGTCCATAAGAGGATAACACTGTACTGCTGAAAACAAAACGTCTAGGATAACTGTTTTAAGAAAGTTTTCAGTGAAGATGCTCTCTTGGCTGGTCCCCATATTATATCAGCCATTCTTTTTATATGGAAGGGGGTGAGAGATTTAGAATTCCAAATAGCAATCAGAAGTGCAGGTTTGTTTTGTTTTGATTTTGGTAATAAAATGTGCTTTATTTTCTGTTCAAGATAGCCTTACATATTAGTCAGATATTAACTGCATAAATTTTGTAGCTTTTTATTAATGAGATCTCTTTTCTAGATTTATTTCTATGGCCTAACAAATAGGAATGTCCCTATTTTTTGAAGGGCCAGATTAAAAGAGGTGTATGTATCCATGGTTAAACTTCATTGATCCAATATGACCACTGCTTTTCTCCTTTCGACAGGAATATACAGTGATACTAACATCCAATTACACCTTTTCATTTTGTATTTGGAACATTAAACAAGAGATTCCCTACATGTTATAGTAGAAATATAGTAAAAAACTGTGAAAGCTAGAACCTGTGTAAGGTGGAAACTTATCAGAGAAGGAAAACTCAAATATCTTTCACTAATAGAGAGTGAGGGAGCTCTGGTGGTGTAGTGCCTAAGGCATTTGACTGCTAACCAGAAGGCTGGTGGTTCAAACCCACCAGCCACTCCTCGGAAGGAAGGTTGGGCAATCTACTTCCGTAGTGATACTGCCTTGGAAACCCAAATAGGGGTCGGTATGAGTCAGATCTGACTCAATGGCAGTGGGTGGTGGAGGAATAGAGAGTGATAGAAAAATGACAAGACTACACCTTGTCAGGGGCAAAAAACTTGTGAGACCCAGAAAAGCAAGGCGATTGTTCTGGCTCTCCCAGATTTCAGGGTATAAGCTAGCAAGTATATAAATAATATCTTGAGATAACTATTTTTGTTTTATATATAATATATTGTATTTTGTTTAAACATAGATTTATAAATATTAATTTATATAAATACGTATTTTTATTATCTATTCATGCTATTTTAATTTTTATAAATTATCCCTTCAGAATGGAGTGGGTCAAACTTTTCTAGTGATAAAGAAACACTGGAAAATGGCCAAAGACCTGATAAGTGAAGCTGGAATCCCAAAGAGCCCTGACCCATTCCATACTCCAGTGCTTCCTGACCACAAATGGGCACAAACTCAGAAGTAAACTAAATCTTTTTATTTGACCAATATTTGAGGCAAAATAAATTGGTTACCAACTGACTCTGCAACAATATAGTATTAAAAATGATGACGTGTAATCAGAATAAAAAGGGTTCACTGCCAGGCATGGGAACTCTTACCATCAACTTTTATAAGTTTTCAAATAGTTGCTAGTTTTTGTAATGTATTTACCTCCTTGGATATATCTTCCTTCCATCTTTAGCTTCTCTTAACTAAACCAAACCCATTGCCAGCAAGTTGATTCCTGTGCATAGTGACAAAGTAGGACAGAGTAGAACTACCCCCTTTGGGTTTATAAGTTTGCAAATCTATCGGGAAGCAGACTGCCACGTCTTTCTCCCACAGTATAGTTGGTGGGTTCAAACCACCAACCTTTGGGTTAGCAGCTAAGCAGTAACACCACATGAATGAATGGCTCCATTTTAGTTTGCTTGAGATTGAGATGATCTATAAATTGATGGAAGTTTCAATTAATCTCAACCTGTTGTGTCCAAAAATATATGCTGGCACCTTAAAAATCTTGACCCCAAAAAGCTATATACTGCTGAAAGGCATATGTGTGTGTGTGTGTGTGTATAAATATGTATATGCCAGGGTTCTGGTAGCATAGTACCTGAGACATTTGACTGCTAACCAGAAGGCTGACAGTTCAAACCCACCAGCCACTCCTCGGAAGGAAGGTGGGCAATCTACTTCTGTGGTGATACCACCTCAGAATCTAAGGAGGGGTTGCTATGAGTCAGGTTCGACTTGACGGCAGTGAGTGGTTTTTTTTGTATATATGCCATAAATATGTATGTGTGTATATATATATATATATATATATATATATGCTACTTAGGGAATTTTTTTCATTTGGATCTCCGTATCTTTAAAGGCCATAGACTTTAGGGGGACACTGACAGTACACAATTGTACAAAGTTAACATAATTCTCCAACCCATTTTTAGAATTGTGTAGTCTTACACAGAAGAGTGCAGGGATCATAGAGCTGGCACACAACTGGGCAGTGTTTCATTCTGCTGTACATAGGGTTGTTATGAGTTGGAGATGACTTGACAGCACCTTAATAACAGCAATACTCAGAAGAGTGTTCCAATATATGGCCCTCACCATTCCTTAGTGTTTGTTTCAGTCCATTGATTGCTTTTTTTTTTATTAGAACAACAGTTGATTGAGTTTTATTAATAATTAGTTATCTATCGCTAGTCTCTGTGTGTTGACAGTTACTATTGAGTTAATTATGACTAATGGTGACCCTGTGTGTGTCAGAGTAGAACTGTGTTCATAGGATTTTTAATGGCTGATTTTTTTTTTGGAAATTAGGCCTTCTGAGGTGTCTCTGGGTAATGTTGAACCACCAACTTTTCAGTTAGCAGCCAAGCTCATTAACCAGTTGTGCCAACCAGAGACTCAAAGATTATAAGACATACTATAAGTTGTCACTTTCCACCAGGGAGAATAATTCATATTTTAGTTTCCAGTTCAGGTAAAGTGAAGTAATAAATCTAGCTTTGAACAGTACAGCAAAATGAATAAGGGCATAGACTCTGAAGTCAACCTGCCTAGTCCAAATCCTGACTCTACTATCTGTGGGGCTGATAAGTCCCTTGACCTCTCTGCCTCACATTCCTCATGGCCATAAAATAGTACCTGCTTATCTGTTCCTATGACTGCTATTGGGTATATATGAATGACTCATGTTTCAGAACGTGGAATGTATGAAGGTATGAATCTAGGAAAATTGGAAGTTGTCAAAAATGAGATGAAATGCATAAAGATTGACATCCTAGGCATTAGTGAGCTGAAATGGACTGGTTTTGGCCATTTTGAATCAGATAGCCATGTGGTCTACTGTGCCAGGAATGACAATTTGAAGATGAATGGCATGACATTCATCATCACAAAGGATGTTTCAAGATCTGTCCTGAAGTACAGTGCTGCCAGTGATAGGATAATATCCGTACACCTACAAGGAAGACCAGTTAATACAACTGTTACTCAAATTTATACACCAACCACCAAAGCCAAAGATGAGGAAATTGAAGATTTTTATCAACTTCTGCAGTCTGAAATTGACCAAACATGCAATCAGTATGTGTTAAT